GCATTCTAAAATATTATATCGGTTCGTTGATCATCATTTACAACAAAGTTTGATTCAAGGAGTTCGCCTTATATATTTCAGTAAGTCTCAAGTTGGCTGATGTATGTGAATTTCAAATCATTAAGATTGGTTTTAGTATCTTTCGAGTAAAAAAAAAAATATAGAGAAAATTTAGGGTGACGTAAATATTAATTTTATTAGGAATGGATAAATGATCGACCGTTAGTTCCGATACTATTCCAATTAAATGTTTTATCACCTGCCATTTTACACAATATATAGATAGACTAAGAAACCAATATTATGAATCAAAGGACTTTTGGTAAATAAAAACCTTTATTAAGACCAAAAAAATATGTTAATAAAGCAAACAAACTAAATCATGTTCATATTTGAAAACTTTGTGAATTATGCGCAGCCAGATATTACATTTCGGGAATGTTAAAAAGAATTTGTATTGTTACAGGATTTGATTTTACTGAATGAAAAGTTGTTCATTCCTATGACAATGCGAGAATTAATGATGAGAGATTAGATTCTATGAATATAACATTGCACCCATTTGTTAGCAGTTTTGAAAATGTAAAACAATTATTTTGTAATTTTATAATAATTGAATTATTTTTTTTTTTTTTTTTTTTTTGAAATTCATTTCATTCACGATCATTGGTCGGTTCTACATTCTCGAATATGAAAATGATCATGAATCATTTTCCGAGTTAATATTATTTAAAGCGTTATTGTTTCTGACATTAACCCTTTATAAACATATTCAATAATTTAATAATTATCCAAATAATTTTGTTTATAAAAAAATTAGGTTTGTTGGTAAAAATTGATATCGATTGTTGAAATGGTTTATGTAACATGTGGTAATCATATGACGGAGTCAGCTTCATAATTTTGTTTCATTATTTCCATAAGAATGTGAACTCGTACTATTTAAAGCTTTTGAAGATATAAAGAAAGATGTTTCCTCAAGTTATTTTCAAGATAGAATTTTTGATTAATTTCAACTAAAAGAATTTTAAATTATTCACATTCTATAAATTTGGATATGTATGATATATTACAATAATTTTACGTATGATGAAGAAATCTATATTAATTGATATAGTTAGGTTGCGCGTGGTATAGTGGTCATATTGAAAATATTTAATAAGTATGCACAATAAATTTACGAAAAAATTTATATAAAATTCATTAAATTCATTACGAATTAAAGGATATGTATTGTACAATGAATATAATAATTAATTATATCGGCGAACTTTACAAATTATTTTTTCTTTCCAAGAATAAACTACTGCGAGTTTTGTAAACGATTTACAAAAAAAAAAAAAAAAAAAATATGATAAAATTCCATCAACTTGTGTCTCCTCTACACAATGTAATCAATCATAATTGCAAAAAAAAATAAGTTCTGTCATGTTATGTTAATGTTTATTGTTTAATAAAGTCAGATATTCTGTTAATAATCCATAAGGCAGTCATGACTTTGTAGAAAATATAAAGGAGATATCACCATAGACGGGTAAATTGCAATAATATCTATGACGATTGTTTGAAGAAATATTCTCTTATTTGTTCTTTCCTTAATATTAGTTGCAAATAAGGCCCGAGACCGTTCACACGTTATTTCTTTATTGAACATATACCAATAATCTTGTTCAGCAACTCCAGCCAAAAACGGATATATATTTCAACTATTTCCTTAAAATCACCAAAACTCCAAGTAAATAATTCGATTCAAACATTGTTAACATACTAGTCAATTATCATGCTTTAGAAACATTGGAAAAATACGTAAATCCATGAATTGATGTGCTCAATTTCCTTTGAGTAATTATATGCCAACATAAATTACACAAAGATCAAACGTCTTGTATATAAAGATCGATACATAGTTAACATAATACTTTTCCGATCCCTGCGAGTTGGTGGTATCACATACTGCATGAAAAAAATGATATTATAGTACAGGGTTATAATACTGGCAGCATTTTGAACATTATTAACGTAGATTTATATCGGGGTGCAAATCATATATTCGACAATAAAATTACTAATCAGCTCCTGGTGGAAAAGAGCCAACCATGCCTAGATGATTATTAAAGTTCAATGTAGTAGACGTCTTAGAAAACATTTGCACTATCAATGCCCATTAATGGGGATAGTATTGTTGTTTGCTGAATAGGTCTCATTTAGATAAATCAAAGCAAATGGTCGAAGAATGGTATAGTGAAAGCAGACTATGATAATGGGCGTTCAAAAGCAACAGAAACACATGATATATTTTTATTTTTAACTTGCGCCAGTCTCAAGCAACTCTTTCAAAGTATTTGCAATTTTTGATAAGGACTGTTGGGAAGAATCTTCGTTGGATGGATATTCGCAAATGGTCGTTTTGCAGTAGAAAAGGAAGAAACTACAAAAAAAATAAAAATAAAATTTTCTTTATTTGATAAATTATTTTTTTTATTAAAAATAAAAAAAAAATTCCCATTCTATTGCAAGCAATCCTCCAAATTTTAATAATGCTATCCTAAACAGCCCACCAATATTTTTTTCATGGTTTAAACAGTCATCGATTTATAGTGAGTGTTACATGATCAAATTATATTTAACCGACGCATACTATTTTTTTTTTAAAAAAACAAAAAAGCAAATCTAATATTCTTCATAAATTTCATAAATATAAAGTGTCTAGGATTTTTCTCTGTGAGCATGTGTACCAAAAAATTCGAGTCCAGCCATGTCTAAATAATTTTTTTATATCTCAACATTTCGATCGTTCATACTTTTTTTTTTATCAATCGATCTACCTGTTAATGATATTTCATCACCGAAAGACGAAAATTTTTATAATAAACGCGTTCATTATTAAATTTTTAAAAATTTGGTTTAACCAGTTTTAAGCTCTATAAGACTTTTTCGATAAAAATTGTCAGTTAAATAAAATTATATTTTTTTTTTTTTGTAATTAAGTATACGGCCAAATTTTTTTTATGATTACAAAAATCTGCACAAATTTAAAGTGCCGGATTTCAACCGCACATTTCAAGCTTTGCGGCTGTGGATGAAAGTGATCCTAAAGGATCAGAAAATAACGTTGAAAACGAAATCCCTTCATGCAATCGCAATTAACCCTAATATAAATATAAAGTTTGAGGATATTGGAGTTGTGCAGACGAGACGTGAATGAAGATGGTTATGTGAATAACGATGAGATATGAAGTAGCTGAGGGAATTTCATCATCATTTTAAAATTTATGAAATAAATTTAAATTTCTTCTTTTTATATTAACTCGTATAACTGTTTTTTAAAAAAATAAAAAAATAATATGTTGCAGAAAAATAAAAAATCAATTTAAAAGTAATCTATTATTAACAAAGCCAAGTTCTTTCAACCGCGCTTAATAAATCGAGTATAAACAAGAATCTATAAATTTTACTAAGTTTAGGTTATTTGCGTTTTCAGTAAGTGAAGATAATCTTCCAAATGAGAAATATATCATGTTATCCGTTCAAAAGAGAATTACCATAAGTAAAAAAGGGGGAAATCTGAAATTTTTGCTAATTTTAGTTCTTAAACTAATTTTGAGTACATGACCATGATCAGTCAAGTGGACCAATTAATAAAAAATTTATCAAAATTTAGATTTCCCTCTTTTCTATTGACTGCCGCCCATATCATAAATTCACGAATATAGGCCTCGTCTATGAACGTAGAAAAGATTTTTAAATGATAGTTGGTTCTTTGCATAAAACCTTCTTTGGCGAGGTCTATTGGAAAATGATAGATTCTTCCTGAAAATAAATAACGATTGCATCTTCGCTAGAATTCGTATTAATATTACTTTAAAAAAATATTATTAGTGTTGTCAAAACAAAAATTTTTTTAAATTTTTTCTGAAAAAATTTTTTGAATGAATTGGATCTTGGAGGTTTGTTTTATTTCAGTAATAGTTTGAGGATGATCCTTACATTATTGAATTTTTTTTTTTTTGTGGGAATACAATGCTAGAAGGTAGAGAAAAATAAAATGACGAAATATTTATATCAGTGTATTGCCAGTAAAATTACATTAAGATCTGATTGTAATATCTCATAACTGGCATTTTAAAAAATTGTGTTTCTCACAATCTCTTACTCTCTCCTAAAAAATGAAAATCACATCCTTTGAAGAACTAATTTTTTTTTTGGAATAATAAGTTCATTCCAGATTTCTACAAGTCGATTTGGTTCATAATTTTTAATAAAATTAATTATATGGGAGGTTTGATTTAAAATCACGTTACGGATCATATGATTTACTATGTTTGTAACTCGGATTTTAATAGCAAACGACCTATATGATAAAAATTTTTAGTAATGATTGAATAGTAAAATTCGGTTTTTATTTTTATGACAGAATCACAAATTTTGTAAAAGAGAAAGAAATAATCTAACGTTTATTTTATTGACTCCAACGAAATAATTTTTTTTTTAATAAAAAAATTTATCGCTAAATCTGTGTCACAATTCTATAAGCACCCACAATCTAATTCTGAAGCAATTCTATAAAATAACCATAATCCTCTAAAGCATCATAACGTTTTAGCACACCCTCCTCCTCATATTTTTCAAATACACTAATTAATTTCTCAAAATTCAATTTGTGACAAAGTTCTACATAGAAATTTAAAATGATCGGTTCCCGACCTCTCCAATTTTCGAAAAAGGCTTCCAAATCATCCTTCGAAACGTTATTCCGATACACAATTCTAATTTCATGTAAGGATCTGGAGCGATTTCAACCAATATATATCAAATAATAATGAAAAATCGGTACTTACGAATATGTTTGCAATAGTTAACCCTTGAATGAAAATCTTTCGAAGCCGATGACATTTCATCAATAAATTTTCAACTTCCGTAGCAAATTCAGAAATGACCCCAAGGATAATGATTTGATATTCGGACAATGCTCATAAACCGCACGAAGGTACTCTCCAGCAAGTTCATCATTAAAAGTATTATAAAGTAAGATCTTCGAGAGATTTCCTTCGGTCTTTTTAATTAAATTTATCGCAACGTCGTAAGAAATTGTATCCAACATAAAGAATTCTAAGTTTAGAAAATGATGATAATTTTAAATGACTTTCAAGCTGATGATTCATTTTAACGTTACTACTACCAAATATTTTTAAAATTTGTAAATTATTAAAGGAGGAAAGGATATTTGAAGGTAAGGAAATTTTCCTGAGATATGTTAATTCAAAATTAATTAGGGAATTGGCTTGTTTAATCAAAGCATCTCCAATTTCTTGTCGAAAAGCTTCAGCTTGATGTTGGACAAACACGAACCATTTTAAGCCATTTTGAACCTCGATTAATCTAGCTAAACCCAAATTACGAAGCTTGCAATACGAAGGACACACGATGTGTATCATTTCTAATGTCCTGCAGGTATTTGCCAATAAATCAAAAAATGTCGGATCACTAATTAAATTACAATATAGAGACCTAAGTCCTCCAAGAAAAGTTGTTGCTCCGATGATATGATGTTTTATTTGTGGTCTTAAATTCATCACATCTAAAGATTTAACAGCGGAACATTTACTAACAATCATTATATAAATTTCTAGTTCTATACAACGAAGTCGACTTTCTTCTATTTTCTTGTATCTGGAAGAATCAAGTCCAACTCTGATGGATTTTTCAATGCAATCAAAGTTCATATATCTGCAGTAACTTAAGTAATCGAATAAATGGTGTTCATGCTGCGTTGGAAATAAATCGATTCCTTGATTATTGAGAAGAAACCGTGTATCTCTTGATAGAAATGAAATAATAAGATCAAATAGCCTCCCATAATCTTTAATGAATTTCCATGGATTACTCCAAATGATAGGTACAGCAGTTTCACACCAAAGTTTGTTTACAAATAAACATGAATAAAGAGGTTCACGCGTCCAACTTTGACTTTTGCAAGATGATAGTTCCTTGAGGACCAAACAAAGTACATCTTGGTTAAGTTTAGACATATTTTCAAAAAAAAAAAAAAAAAAAATTATTAAAGAAATCGGAATATATGAACATGGGATAAATAAATAAATACTGACGCACAAGATCTTCATGACAAAATAGGAAATGAGATATGTTACGTAAACATATGTTGATAATATCACGTGCCTGTGCCCTCGTTTATTGGTAATGCTTTGATTTTTTAGAAATCAATTTTTCATGTCTTCAAATTCAAAAGTCTTTTTTTATAATCAACATGGAATTTACGATGACTACCACAAAGGAAAAGACTTGGGACTGTAAAATTATAAAATAAATGTGCCCTTATCTACATATATTGCTTAATAACAATAAAAACACGAAAAATAAATTTGCATAATTATTTTCTGAATTAAAATTAACATTCATATGAATAATCGAAAATCATAACGTTTCAATGTATGGATTATTTTTTCTTGTTTTTTTAACCATATTTTTATCTTCTTTTTATTTTTTACTTTGTTACCTTTGGTAATTTTATTTATTCAAATTTTATCAAGTATTTATTTTCTCATCAGGACCTATTTTTGTTTGATGTTACAAGACTATTAGAAAAATCGTTTAAATTGTTCAACATGACCACGTGACTTCAGTTGAAAAATATTTATAAATCAGCCAATAATCGGTTGAAGCTATATTTGTTTTAAAAAGTAAATAAATTAAAAAATTTCCCAATACTATTTATAACAAATTTATTTTGATTTAAAAATTTTTAATTTGGTAACAAACCATTATTACCTACTACAATGAACGCTTTAAAAAAAATCATGGATATTTGTATTCAAAGACATGGTCAGAGCCCATCTTTGTTCACTCTCAAATGAAGTAGTCAAAGCAAAATTGAAATTTTCGCTAAAATTAACAAACCTATATTTCTTTTATATAACTTTTGCATATCAATTTCTGGTGTAACACTGAACACTTTTATTAAAGTTAAATTAAACTCAACCTAATATGCATTATAAACAAATGCTATACCTTTAAATAAAATTATTTAAAGTTATT